ACACGGGTGAGGTGAGGTCTAGGGATCGAGCCCTGGGATCTGCATCTGCTACCACAAAGGTGAAAACCGTTTCACTCCCGCCGGCCTAAGTTCGAGGTCCTCCGAGAATGTCAAGGGTAAATCCAGGGGGTGTGGTGAAGTGAAAGGTGGGATGGAATGCGTACGGCATGAGTCGACCCATAGGATTCCCAAGACGATGTCGCACATCAAGTGCATGACATCGAATGAGACCTGACTGCGGAGAGAGCCGACAATCATTGTGGTCTCGGGAACGGTGCGGTTTACTACGGCGGCGGTGTCCTTGTCCCCGAGTCGAATGGTGATCGGGGAGTCAAAGCTGGTGGAAGGGAGACTGGCTTTGCGGGCACAAGCGTCGGTGATGAAGTTACCGGTAGCTCCAATGTCAAGGAGAGCCCGGAACTTGAGTGTAAAGCACCTAGGGAGGGGACGATGAATTTGAGTTGGAATCCAGAGGAGTCGACGGAGGTGGAGGAGATCATGGTGTTGAGGCAGCGTTGTTCTAAGGCTAACTTAACCAGCCAATCGAATTATGCTTGTTTCGCAACAACATCGGAGAAGGAGATGAAGGAAGGGTTGGGGAGGAGGGTGGAAGAGCATGGGGTGGTGATGATGTCGTTTGGCAGGGTAGAGGATGTAGCCGGGAGGGCGGCAGGTGGAGTAGACTGCGACGCTTGCGGGTCTATCGATGGAATAATGTGCACTCCATGATCAAGGGTACAAAGTTCACGATGAGGAGGGGTCGGGTCCTGCGGCGGCCGAAGAAGCGGATGTCGCAGGTTTGCTCATGTGCCGAGTGAACTGGCCGGCGTTGGGGCAGTCCGTTTGCTGGTGTCCAAGCTGCCGGCAACGAAAGTAGCCATTGTTGGCCTGTAGGTAAGCGCGTTCCTCGGTGGTGAGTTTTTTTAGACGGGGGGGTTGGGTGGAGGAAGATGGTCGAGCCATTCGGTCCTTGCGTTCCATACGCAAGAACTGGATGGTGTCGAGTTCCTCCGAGCTGAGCGAAACCGGGGCAGAGTCGGAGTGGTGTTGGGCTCAATGAGAGGGGTTGTGAACTCGTCGTCGGAGGGAGACGCTATGGTGGTCTCATTCGTGAAGATGTGAAAGAAGCGTGGACGAGAGGTGGTGGGACCGCAGACGGGGAAGGTGATCGTGTTGAAGGGCACAGGTGAGGAGGTCGGTGAAGGACATGGTTGGCTCGTAGGCGAGGGCAGATGCGATGTCCTTACGGCATACCCGCTTGAAGCGGGAAATGAAGACGTTTTCACTGATCTGGTCGTGGGGAATGTTTTGGCGAAGGGTACGGACATATTGGATGAAGTAGTCAGTGGGGCCGTTTTGGCGAAGCCTGCAAAACTGGTCGACGTAGTCGTCGATTGTCTTTTGCGGGCGGAAGGTGGCGGAGAGGAGGGAGGCCTACTCGAGAAAGGAAAGGGGAGGAAGGCCCGCGGAGTGTCGGTTGGCAGATTCGGTGATCCACCATCGGTGGGCGGTGTCGATGAGTTTATTCACAGCGATGGAAAAGCAACGGATAAGGGGACGTTGTGGAGTTCGAAAGCTTGTTGTAACTTGGCGAGGATGAGGAGAACATCGTCATGGGAGTGTCCAGAGAAGGTGGGAATGTCTTGGAGGCAGATGGATGGTACTCTCATACTATCGATGTAGGAAGGAAGCTGCTAGTGCAATGAATGATGGATTGGGCTTCTCCTCGAAGACTGAAGAGGCAGATACTTCTGGAAAAAGCTGCGCAGTTAACCCCCAGGTCGGCTGGGGTAATCAATGCTCACAGCCAAAATCATATCTTGCTTTCAGATGTTCTTCAACGGATACAACCTGTCTGGGACGCTGGACATGTTTTCCAGCAGGTGCTGCTCCCCACCAATAGATGAAGCCTCCTTAATTAGTGATAATAGGAATAATAGTTGTAGGGGGAGGGGGGGATATCAGTTGGGCGCAGAGTGGTGGGGGGGGAGTCAGGGGAAGGGGATCCGGGTTAGGGTCAGGATTGGGGGGCGCGGAATGGGGGTCGGAGGGAAATCAAGGGGGAGTCCGGGAAGGATCTGGGGAAATCGGGGGGGAGATCGGGGTGGGAGTGCGCAGTTAGGGAGGAAGGTGGGGGAGTCGGGATCGGAGAGGTGGGGGGTTCTTCGGGATTGAGATCGGGAGGGGGAGTTGGGGCGCAGGTGGTCACACGCACGTGCGCACGGAAGGAGTCGGGAGATTGTGGGGGTAGCGGGAGGAGGAGGATCATGCAGGGGGAAAGTAGCGCGCGGGGGAGGGAAGTAAGGCTGTCTCTTATACACATCTAGATGTGTATAAGAGAACCCCTAATATTCCATGCCCATTCCGCCGGGTCGTACTCCAAATCTTCAATGGCCACCGTGGGTGCAAATACTGTAAATTCGTCATCCTCCACCACCCTGATCTTCCTGAGCAGGCACTTCTTAACTGTGATTGCTGTCTTGGATTCTTTATCCAGGTGACTCACTGTGATTCCCGAATTACGAATTACGAACATCTCTGAATCAAGCCACTGTTGATCGGGGCCCACTTCCTGCTGCACCCGGAAGGTCTGCTCTGGAACTGCACTTATGTGCCAGGTCGCTCACCCCATTCCCATTTGTACGGCCCTCTCAACAACTGCGTCCATTCTTGCGGAATGGATATTAGAACGTCGTTTAGATTCTCCGTAACCTTATGACAACCTTTCATTGTCTTCCATCTATTGTCATTCTGGGACCATAAGTGCTTGATCTGCCAGACCCCGTGTTCCAACCAATTCCCCAATTTGGTGTCCCTAGCTGTTAATGTCCTCGGCTTCCCTTGGGAATCCTGTAACCAGGGGTTACAAAACAAGGGTTGCCTGAGAACTTCCTCCTTGGATCTAGGTTTTCGTACTCTAGCCGGGAATATCTCTTCCCATATCCTAAGAATTTGTGCCCAGTATGATGGGAAGGAAGTTCCCTCCTCACCCCCCCGCTTCCTTGTCCTACCCCTTTTTGCCCACCCTTTGCAGAATATCCAGAAGGTGCCCTCCATATTTGGAGGAGTTGAGAACTTCGTAAGTCCTTGCTCCAATACTAGGGGAACCTAGCGCAAGTGGGGTTGCGTTACCAGCTTGATAATCCATTTTGATGGAGTGCCTTAATCTGCTGTTCGGGATCCAGGATGCCCAGACCCCCCCGATTCTTTGTTTGTGTTACTTGTTTCCAGGCAACCTTGGAAATGAAGTTATCCTTGGTCGGGTTCCCTGTCCACAGATATGCTGCCGCAACCCTTCGGAGCCTTCGAAGTGTTGATCCTGGGGGTGACCAGAGGGTGCCCGCATACCATAGCATGGAGAAGATGGAGCCATTGAGGACCAAGGCTCTCCCATACAGGGAGGTATAAATGGTAGACCATGCGTCCAACTTTGCTAGCA